GGAGACGGGAGGATCACTTGGCCGCAACTCGAAGGGGACGGGCGGACTTTCGAGTCCCGGAGCCGCGACGTGTGCCGGCGACCGTGGGCGCACCTAGTGCGAACGCGAGGCTGCCGGGCGCCTTTAGGCCACCAGCAACCGAGGTGAAGAGGTTTACGGAGGAGGAGATGGCACGGAGACGTGAGAAGGGGTTGTGTTTTCGGTGCGAGGAAAAGTACACACCGGGACATCGATGCAAGCAGAATTACTTGATCGAGTTTGTGGACTCGGATGACGAGGAGCCGGTGATCGAGGAAGAACGAGAAGTGGAGGTCGAGGTGCACGATGATGAGGCCGAGATCTCTGTACATGCCATGGCGGGCACCAAGGGGCCGAGGACGATGCGTTTGCCAGCGTGGGTGAAGGATCAGCGAGTGACTGTGCTCGTGGACAATGGGTCGTCGCAAAACTTCATTAATGCAACGCTATCTCACAAGCTTAAACTACCCACGTCCATGGTCGAGCCATTCGAAGTGCGGGTGGCTAATGGAGAGAGACTGCGGTGCTCGAAGGTGTACCAAGGCGTGCCAATCAAATTTCAAGGAGTAACGGTAAAGGCGGACCTGTTTGCCTTACCATTGGTAGGACCTGATGTGGTGCTTGGTGTGCAATGGCTCGAAGGGCTCGGTGACGTAACGACCAACTATCGGAAGGGCGTGATGAAGTTCGAGACCGATGATAGGTTGGTTACCTTGAAAGCGAGAGAGGGATCGACCAAGGAGGTTGGTCTAAAAAACATCGAGAAGGTGTGGCGAGGTGGTGGACAGTTGTACGCTGTCGTGGTCGAGCAGACAGGTAAGGATGCGGAGGTGCTCGAGGATTTCGACCAAGTGGTCGAGGAGAGGCAGCGCGAGGTGCGTGACTTGCTCGAGGAGTTCGACCAGGTCCTCGACGAGCCCAAGGGACTGCCGCCACACCGAGAGTTCGACCACCGCATACCTTTGGTCGAGGAAGGTCGAGCAGTGCACGTGCATCCGTATCGATACGCGCACTTCCAAAAGACAGAGATCGAGCGATAGGTGGGCGAGATGCTCGAGTCTGGGCTCATCCAGTATAGCTCGAGCCCGTTCTCGTAACCGGTGTTGCTCACAAAGAAGAAGGATGGAATGTGGAGGTTTTGCACGGACTAACGCGCTCTCAATGCGGCTACCGTGAAGGATCGTTTTCCCATTCCAAGTGTCGACGACATGCTGGACGAGTTGGGTGGCGCGCGATACTTCCCTAAGCTCGACCTACGCGCGGGCTACCATCAGATCAGGCTGGCCAAGGAGGGTGTGCCCAAGACGGCTTTTCGCACGCACCAAGGGCACTACGAATATCTCGTGATGCCTTTTGGTTTGTGCAATGCGCCGTCGACATTTCAGTTTGCGATGAATTCAATCTTCAAGGAGTACCTTCGTAAGTTTGTGTTAGTATTCTTTGATGACATTTTGGTGTACTTGAAAACATGGGCAGATCATCTCGAGCACTTGCGAATTGTCTTGGGGATTCTGGAGGCTAACTCATTCTACATCAAACCGTCCAAGTGCTCGTTTGCTCAAGAAGTGGTCGAGTACCTCGGACACTTTACTTCTCATGATGGCGTTAAGGTGGATCCAAGAAAAATCGAGGTGATGGTGGGATGGCCGAAACCCACGAGCTTGACGCAGTTGCAAGGGTTCCTTGGTCTCACGGGCTATTATCGAAAATTCATAAAGGACTATGGGACCATCGCAAAGCCACTTACGGAGATGACGAAGAAGGGAGCATTCAAGTGGACGGAGGCGAGCAAAAAGGCTTTCGAGGAACTGAAAAAGGCCATGACGACCACACCCGTGCTCGCGATGCCGAGGTTTGATGTGTTGTTCGAGATTCACTCGGATGCGAGCGACATGGGAATCGGAGCAGTTCTAGTACAGGAAGGACGACCCTTGGCTTATCTCAGCAAGGCTCTCGGGCCGGCGCGCTTAGGGTTGTCCGCATACGTAAAAGAGATGCTAACCGTGGTCGAGGCCGTGCGCGTATGGAGGCCGTACTTTCTTGGGCGACGCTTTCGGATTGTCACGGACCAGCAGCCACTCAAGCACTTGCTCGAGCAAAGGATCGTGACGCCCGAGCAGCAAAAGTTCGTGTCCAAGTTGATGGGATTCGACTTCGAGATAGTGTATCGGCCCGGTCGCCAGAACACCGTGGCTGACGCATTGTCTCGCCGGGAAGACATGGCCGAGCTCGACGCAGTTACGGGGCCGACGTGGGCCGTTTGGACAGAGCTTCGGAAGGCGCAAGACGAGGATGCGCATTGTCAGGACGTGGTCAAGAAACTGAACGAGGGGCGCGACAAGGACGAGGACCATGACATGCACGATGGCTTGCTTCTTTATCATGGGCGAGTCGTCGTGCCCGAGGCGGGATCGTTGCGCGAGGACATCATCCGGCACTTCCACGACTCGAAGTTTAGAGGACATTCCGGGGTGTTCCGGACATGGATGAGGATTGCGAGCACTTTTTATTGGCCAGGACTGAGAGGCGATGTGCGCGACTATGTTGGGCGATGTGATGAGTTCCAACGCACTAAGGCGGACGCACGTCGACCGGGCAGACTGCTTCAACCATTGCCGGTCCCCACACGTATTTGGGAGGACATCACCATGGATTTTATCGAGGGGTTGCCACTCTCGAATGGGTTTAATGGAGTCATGGTGGTAGTCGACCGTCTTACCAAGTATGCACATTTTGTTCCACTTACTCATCCATACACGGCTAAGTCTATAGCAAAATTATTTGTCGAATATGTGATGAAAGTGCATGGGGTGCCGCGGTCAATTGTTTCCGACCGAGATCGGATATTTATGAGTAGTTTCTGGTCGGAGTTCTTTAAGTTGCAGGGAACCGAGCTAAGCATGAGCTCAGCTTATCATCCACAAACCGACGGACAGACAGAGGTGACCAATCGCACGCACGAGCAGTACCTTAGGTGCTATGTGCATCAATTTCCAAAGCGATGGGAGAATTATTTACCTTGGGCCGAGTATTGGTATAACACCACTTACCATAGCTCGACTAAGGCAACGCCGTTCGAGTTGGTGTACGAGGGCAAACCGCCGACGATCGTGAGTTACTCGATGGGGAGCGCCGTGAACGATGAGGTCGATCGAGAGTTGGTCGAGCGCGACTTAATGTTTCGCGAGCTAAAGCGGACGTTGGAAGGCTCGATCAATAGGATGAAGGCGTACCATGATGGCAAGCGGCGTGACGTGGAGTTCGAGCCCGGGGATTGGGTGTATTTGAAGTTGAGGCCGTTTCGGCAAAGGACGGCAGCGCAAAGGGCCGCGACCAAGCTCGAAGTTCGATATTACGGGCCTTATAAAATTTTGGCCAAGGTTGGGAAGGTTGCTTATCGACTTGAGTTGTCGGGCGATTCCCATATTCATCCTGTTATACACGTCTCACAACTCAAACAACGACTCGGCGAGACGCACACAGCAAAGGACCGACAACCCGCGGTCGCGCCGGACGGGCAGGTTATGGTGCGGCCGAGCCGGGCGATGGAGTATCGGCAAGTCAAAAAGGCTGGAAAATATTTCTGGGAAGTGCTTGTCGAATGGGAAGACTTGCCGAGTGAGGAAGCGACATGGCAAAGTTGGGACGAGATGCGCGAGATGTTCCCCGATTTCTTCCTTGAGGACAAGGAAGCACTTGAAGGGGACGGGAATGATGCGGACACGGCGAGAAGACTCAAAAATGCGGCAAGTCGCGCGTGGCATGCGCGAAGGAGGTTAAGTCGCCGTGCCAGCGAGGTGCAATATACGGACGGACGCGCGCGCACAAGAGATGACGCGCGCGACACTATCGGGGACGGATGCAGGTTTGGACGTGCAGGCGACGAGGTGCACGCGCATACTTACCTAGGCGCACGAGGATTGGGCAACGTGGACGCGGGCAAGGCGGTTTGGGGCGCAAGCAAGAAATAAATTAAATAGCTTGATTAATATTTTATTTCCTTGTTTTCTAGTTTGTTTAGGATACTTAATATTTTATTGCTTAATAGAGTTATAGTTATATTAGGACTAGATCTAGTTGATGCCTATATAAAGGCCCTTTCTCTTGTTAATTTATTCATTCAGAAATTAATACAAAAATCCGAACTTTTGTTCAAACTCTTTGCTCTAGTTTTCTTCTTGAATTCTTTTGCAACTTTATTCGTTAGAAAGG